CAGTTGTCACTGGGACAGCTCAGTGCATACCTTTTGTCCATACAAGTGGATTTGTTCATCCTTTTGTTGAGCTGCTACCACTTTATCCTCCCACTGTCACCATCTACCACAGCACAGGGGTTACTAATGTTCTATAGGAACAGGTTCTGACTAAGCCCTCAGGCCTCCAGTTTTTCTTAAGGGACAAAGAATGGAATACTCAGTGCTGTGGTTAATAGGAGGTGAGCAAAATGCTTTCCAGGTCAGCTTGAAATCAAGTGTATTGAGGAATATTTTCTTTGAATGTGTTCTCCCGAGATACTCAGAATGTTTTCAGTGCTTCCTTGTATAATGATGACAGTGTGCAAGGAACTTCCTTGGCATTTACAGAATAGAAAACTTTGGTTTGGGAAGCTGACAGATCTTAAACCTTAGAGATGACTATCATTTTACCCTGGCAGCTTCTAGTTCTAGGCTGCCACATTTGGCATGGCTTCTCATCACCATTATGCTCTGGTAGACACAATATGTAACATTTTTTAGTCAGACTGCTATGATGAAAAGCCTTTTCTACAAAGTGATTCTGGCTGATCTCCTCTTGCCTGGGGTAATCCTAACAAATGAAGTGCTGCAGTCAGGAGTGAATGTCAGTATACACATGTTCAGAAAGGGCAAGTTTATTGCTAAAGATAACATGGAAGTAACACAGCAAAGTCAGTATTTAAGTGTGGTGATGCCCCCAGTATGGACTTCTGCAACTGCAGCCTCAGGCACACAAAGCCTGCTATAACCTTCTACTAATTTCTTTGCATCCAGTCTTGTGACCACTTGGCCCATGAGAACATTTGTATAGCCACAGATATGTTTAAGGTCTGTTTTTCCTGTGATTGTAATGATGTGGAGGGTTGTGAAGTTCAGGAGATCCCAGAAAAATTATCACAAAGGGGTGAAGGTCGATGTGAGCATCCTTGATCTTCTGTACAAGAGGCTAGTTTGAACTGCAAGCTGATGTATAGGTGACTATAAAAGGCAGTAATAGAGAGTAAAAAATCCTGCTGCTTGGGATCCATGTACCTGGGTTTGCCATGGTGCTGTGTAAACAACTAGAGAAATCTAGACTTCACTGTCTAAATGAAGACAGCTTTTCCTGGGGAAATCTGGCCTGGCATTCCATAGGCATGGAATGCCTAAGAGCAGCAATAGGAAGATAATAGAGAAGTCCAGTGAGTAAAAAATTTAGATAGATATCTAGCACCCCAAGAATTTCTGTGATTGTACATGGGACATCAGAGGATTTGGGCAAGCTTCAAAACTGGGAAAGTGTGGGACAATTTATAAATTGCCCTTCTGTCCTCACAAGTGGCACCGTGTCCTCTGACCCTACTCCACTGTTGAGTGATGGCACTTCCACAGTTTCCACAGTTTCCACACAAGCTGGTTGTCCAAGAGGAAGATTCTCACAGGAGTCCTCAAAGCCGCACTGAGATAAACTGAATGTTTACCCCTTTACTGTGATTCTGTCAAATTTTCCAGCAGGTACTCAAAAAAAATATTTCACTGCCCTAAAGGCAGGTTCTTAATTTACTTCCTGCCCTGCACGGTGTCTCACTCTTGCTTGTGTTTTTCTCTTTATTTTGAGAGTAGGGGACTGGGTTTTTATGGTGGCCATGTTAATCGTATCCCTGGTGGTCACAAAGGAGTTTAATAAAAGGGGTGGGTGGCTGGGTTAATTATTTTTTCCATCTGTCTTAGGAGAAGAGTGTTTTAAATAAATACAGCTCTGTTGGAGCAGAGGGGTTGCAAGGGTAACGTTTTTTGTTTCCCTTCCTTTGTCACCCCACCACCCTCCTTCCCCACCCCCCAGTTTATTTCCTGCTGTGGAGACAAGTGACTTAATAAACTATTACTTATTTGTTAAAGATGTCTCTTTCCAGCACTAGTTTTCCTGCTGGGGAGATGAGTGTCTATAAAATATTTCCAAAGGTACGTCCTTTAAAGATTTAGTGGGTTTCCCAATAGCACACTCCAAGTCCCGCTGCTGTAAAAGTTGCTGGCTGTTTATTTTTCAACATATCTAAGAGCCTGAGTGATGGAACAAGAGGAAAATTTTGTTCTTCCACAATTTTTTAAATCTATTTCTACTTTGAGTCTCTCAGTTCTGTATGGCAGGAGCAAACCGCCAAGCCAGCACTGAGCCCTATTTTGTTTAACAAGGTTCTGGTTTAGCTCAACTTTATACCATGCAGATTTGTCGAGCAGGATTGAAACCTTAATTTTAAACAACTTTTTGAACAGTTGCTGAGCAGGGAGGCTTGAAGTTAAACTCTGGGCTTGAAGGTGCTGGGCCACAGATCTCAGTCTCACAGTGGACAACTCCGTTTTTTTAATATTTCAAGACAAGTTATTTTTGTACTGCACCAGCATCTTCAGAGGAGACTGTTAATACAATAGGTTCCTGCTGCTCAGCATAGACTTCTTTTCATCACTGACACATCAATTCCTTTTTTTAAGAGCAGACTTTAATTTCTATGTTTTTGCTCAAAATTCCGTCTGCCATGCGTAATGCTGTGTCCAACACCTTTCTGCTTTTCTAATAGAAGTCAGTAGAATGTACTACATAAATACTGCATATTAAGAGTATATATCCTAACAAATGGTATACAGTTTCTTCTCCAATACTATACAGTTAGGAATTACTACTGTAGTAATCGTGTGTAACACAACCTTCATACACATACAGCATTACAGCCTGATGGCCCAGACAAATCTACCCTGCCCACTTGAGGAGGTAATCAAAAATGACAATATCATGTCATTTGCTTTTTATAACTTCCCTTTATTGCATCAGCCCTAAAGCTACAGATGGAACCCCACCTTTGGGTCTAATTCTTCGTTGGGAGAGACCCTCAAAATTGATGGATTGGAGGTATGAAGACACCAACCAACCCAGTCCCTCTTTTGGGTGAAAATTCCTTCCCATATGAGATTTTAGTCCAAGTTCTGGTTATTCAGTGCTGGTGTTGGACCTGTCACTACTTTTAAGCCTGGAGTTTGGCATATTTATGAGCTGCCTGAAGGAGGAGAGTACTCCGGAACCTTCCAAAAGTAAGGAGCTCAGTGTGGTTCTCTGCTTCCCCCAGGTGGAGGCATCTAGGCTGGCATGGTTCTGAGATGGGCACAGCCTCTGCTGAGAGCTTTCCTCAGCACAGAGGAGAGTAAATCACTAGGGAGTCCCTGCGACAAACTGGGTGGGTGAAGGAGGCTGCTGAACAGAAGTTTATTGGAGACACAAAGGAGGAATTCCCAGCTTGGGAAGTAGGGAGAATAAGACTGAGATGCCCAAGGTATGTGACTGGTCACTCTCTGTCGACCATTCTGGGTGAGTTGTATGTGAGACTCTGCTTGACATCTTCATTGAGCAAAAATGTCATCTTGCCATCATAGGATGGGCTTAGCCTTCTCTCAGTGTTTGTGCATTACTGCTGAAAGTGTTGCAGGAATATTCATCATTCAGATGAACTAAGAGGGAGATAGCTTTTCAGGGAGGACATAGAGGGAGCACTAAGAAGATTTGAGAGAAGAGCTGAAACATCACTAGAAAGAGGCAGACACTGACTTCAGTTCTTTTAAGCCTAGCCATACATTGTTTGACCAAACAGGTAGGACTCCTGCATCATCTCACATTGTAAGACAAGCCTGCTGGATTGCCTTGAGCCACAAGTCCACACCAGGCAGGTCACTCCGAATGTAGTTCCTTGGGACATTAATTCCTTCAAATTAGTGAAAAGTTGCAGATATGTTTCTTCTCCATTAGGTACAATGTGGAGGAAAGAGCCTGGAGAGGGAGTAGAAGATAGCTCAGGAGTGTAACTACTGAAAAGATGCAGTGGGATCCTCTGTGGAAGTGCAGGGCTCAGTTCCTGTGAAGATGACCTTGAGTTGAACAGAAAGAATGCAGAAAAAGTAGAGACTGCTTAGAAATAGTTCTTTTTTGACAAGTCAGTTGTCTAATTTCAGGAGGAACCTGAAGAGAGATGAACCAGTGCATGATAAGAAACCAAGAGAGTGGGTGTTGAAAGCAGACTGTTAGCCAGCAGTAACTGACAGCTGTATAAAATTCTGGAGGCAGATAATTGTAATCAAGATTCAGTCCCACAGAGACAATTAGTTATGTGAATACAAACCAGAGCACAGATAACTGAATGAAAAAGAAATATTTCATTCCTATATAAGACTGAATAAAAGCTAGGAAAAATACATGAAGAGACATTCTATGTACCATGACTGAAATTATATTATTTGAAACTTTTAAATTACAGCTATTGGCATTATTCAACACCCTAACTATGTATACATCTATTCAGAGTGGCCTTATCTGCAAGGGCCACTTAAGAGTTTGTGGGTTTACCCTTGTTCCAGATTTGGGGATTTTTTGCTCACACAAAACACTGGTGTGAAATCAGAGCATTCTGAAACATCCCTGGATTTAAAGCAGTGAAATCTGAAATCAGGAACTTCCCTTGCTTTGGCATCACCTTTGCCATTTTGTCCTCATTGATTTCAGCAATCAGAGTGTAGTAAAGTAAACACATCAAAATTTGGCCCATAGCAGGAGTCATAAATTTTGTTTTTGAAGACCTGATCCTTCATTCACTAATGTTAATAGAGGAATTCATATTTGACGTCATTTGGGAGGAACAGATCCCAAGGCGTTTGTTCTCAGGCATATCAAAGCAACTATTTTGTATTGAAAGTAAATTAAAATGCAATATTCCTACATTTGCCAGGAGTGTAAATCTGAGCACTACAAATCAAATTAATTGTATATCTATGTCCAATATTTCAAATGAAACCTGTGACAGTCAGACAAGTTGTTCGATAACTGATCTTTTAAAAACAACAGAGCAAGATCATTCAAAGGATTACTTCAAACTACTTTTTAGTGGCTGAAGCACAAAATGGTCTAGATTTAAAGCTTAAGTATAGCAATTTAATTTGAAGTTTCTCTGTATTTTCTCAAGGATGCTTGAGGACAGAATGTCACCTGAATGAGCTACTCCCTACACTAACCAGAAGGTGACTGGACAATTTACATCTGTGTACTTACTGAAAGGAAGGCTGAAGAATCCTTTATGTTGGTAAGTCTTGCAACAATGTTATTATGTGGGAAAACAATCTCTAAGAGAGCAAGAGGAAAAAAGTAATTCTAAATTGTCTCTGATCATATACAGCTTCAGAATAATGCAAGGATATCCAGAATAATTCTTGACGCATCATTTTTTAAATCATTCTCCATTTAGTACAGCAACACACCCCCCCACCTCACTTTTGTTCAGTTTTGTACAGAACATTTCTGACACTTATAATAAGTGTATATATAATTAAAATATAATTAAAATTCAATATGTAGAGTTGCATCCTTATTTTAGCAAGGAATAATTCGTCTTCTTGTCATGCCAATACTTGACTGTTTTAAGTGATTTATGTATTTTACTTGTGGAAGTCTTAGTGTATTTGTGTTTATGCACATACCACATATATATATACATATATATATAAAAGTAAATTAGTTTCTTTTCTGTTTTTCAGTAAAGTTTCTTTCTAGGGAAAGCAACTATTTCTAGGTTTTTATAAGCTGATGGAACAGGCTTGTCAAATAGTCTTTATGAGAGAAGAAACAGGAAGATGGCTTGGTTTGCAGACAGAGGGTTATTGGGCAATTATGTTTTTTATAGAGCTGTTGTAGGACAAATCACGGGCCTGCTTTTGCCTTTGATGCTACGAGGCAGACGGCCCAATAAAGATCAGAACAAGGGAGGGCAAAGGGGGTCAGGGACAGAGCCTTCCCTTGGGGTCCCGCTTCTGCCGCTCGCCTCAGAAACCAGACACCCCTTCCAGATGCACCATAGCTCCACTGTGACCCTCCTGATGGGCTGTGATGGGAAACTGGGAGTGCTTCAGGAAGTGTTCACCCTGTACATCCAGCTCCAGAGTTACATGGATGCTGGGGAGAAAGTTGCCCTCTGTGGTGTCCTGGGACAACCACAGAGATTATTTGCTCCCAAGACTAGAAGAAACCAATTCACAAGAAAATTCACTTGGAAAAAAAAAACAAGCTTAGCTTATGCAAAGTTGTATAACTGGCAAAACTCTCCCTGCATGTGTCCCTTTTTTGATACCTGTTTCCTTCTGTACTGTCTGAACTCATCTTTCAGCCACTCTCTTCACAATTAGGAAGAATTCTCCTTGGGGCGAGTTGTCCTATCAATTTTTATTTTGTTTCACCTTCATCTGTAGCAGTTGGTACTGGACCTGTAAGAGAATCTTGGCTGACATAAACTACAAGTTATTTGTCTATGCCAATTATTTTTTGTATAAACAGTGTTTAGTAGAAAGGTGTGTTAATTTTCATAATGGGGTTCATGATATGCTTGTGTAGGGAACACAGGGGAAATCTCACCTCTGGAGCGTTCCTTATCTCCAGACATTTCTGCTGCCATTTTCCATATTTCAGTTGGTCAGTTCATTCCAAATACAGAAGAGAAATAAATTTGGAAAAAAAAAAAAGTGGTTGCACATTTTACATCATCTTTTCCTCATTATTCAGAGCAGCACATTATATGAACCTGAGCTATTTTCGTTCTGCTTTATTTTCCTTTGAGACACTCTGATGGCATTAGTTAAATGAAGATCATGTCCACATAAATGCTGTGAATAGTGTACTGGAGTTATCTTTGGGAATACCCTGCTTTGCTCACAGGAAGTTGGTGACTGGGGTGTTAGAGCCCAGAACTGCATGGAAAGGAACCCTGTACCTCCATGCTTGACTGGCCAAAGCTATAACATAAATACGTACACAACAAAAGGTCCACCTAAGAAAGCTTGGGGCAGTAGATCTGTTTGAACCAAATTATTTCATAGAGTTGAAATTGTGGGTCAGTTACTTGAGGCAGTTCCTGCACTGACACCTAGCACAGGCTTCCAAAATACCTATTTTGGTCACTTTCACCACTTTTTTCCTCACAAGGAAAGTGTGTTGAGTCATTGATATTGGAGAGACCAGAAAGAGGGGACTAAGGGTGCTAGAATCACACAAGTAGATGCAGTGTACATTTTGTCAGAGAAGATGGAAGTACTCAGTGTGCAAGTATCAGATTTTGACTCCTGACTTTCCTTGCAATATGTATTGATCTCCTTGAATCCTCAGGCTATCACAAAATTAGCTGTTCATAATGAAACAAGAAAAGGGATTAAATACAAAATTGACTGACAGGATGAAAGCTCTCTCCCCTTCCAGCATGCCACTGATTTACTTAAATACCATCAGAAAAAGGAAGAAAATGTATTGTTTAACGAAACTCACCAGTTTTTGCTGTTTATTTGCTAAATGTTTGACCAGTTACAGTGAAAGTAGAGCACTGTCAATTTCTTATTGGAATGCCAATGAGATTAGCTACAGAGTACATAAGAAAGATAAAGATGGATCAGTTCTGCCTGCTACATTTCCTTTTACTCTGACTAGTTTTCCTGTTTGATAAACTTGTAAGCTTTCTCTTTCCTCCACTATCAGTCGCAGTTAGGCTTTTCTTAAGACATCTGCTGCTTGTTTTTTTGAGGAGTTCTTCTAATGATTGTTGTTCTGTCATTGTTTCCAAGTGTCTGCTGTAAAACCACAACATAACTAGCTAGTGTTCTTTGTTGTTATTCACAACTCACCATCAAAAATTAAGTCTCATTCTGCACTCTGACAGAGAGAGAGCTTTGAACCACATCATTGGAATTGCCACGAGATTCAGAGCCCTGAATCAGGACTCTGCAGAATATACAAGGCTCTAATTTCCATGCTTATAAGATTCTTAACTACTTCAAAATTTAACACTTTATGGACAACTAATTAACATTTAGTGTATAAGAACATAGAAGTTTAGGGATCAGAGGGACTCCTTAACTTGAACATTAGAAATCTGAAAGTATAGAAGATGGCTCAGTACAGGGCTTACATTTTTCCCTCCTAGAGCTGAGGAATCCATATGTAGCCCATTGGTTTAGCAGCTGGTCCCTGACAATCAGGAGAATTCCAAGAGCAGTCCCTTAGGCCTCTTCCAGTAGAGTCACAGGCAAGAGCCAGACAGAAGCACCAAGCTCTGTGCTCGAGACATCTTGAAGACTTAAATAACTGCATATTCCCTGCCCTCCCCTCTGCCTCTGCCCCCCAGTCATATTTCACCTACCTTGGGAAATCTGCAAAATTTCACCTGTGACAGCTCTGCTGACAAACAAGGGAGATCAGAGCTTTCATCTGGGTGATGAACTGCCAGGCTGTCAGAACAGCAGAGTATCTGTGCCGTGATGAGACAGGTCAGGGCTGCCACAGGGGCTCTGCATCCTGACCTTGGGACGGCTCAGGGAAGACTGCGCTGTACCTGCTCCTGCCTCTCAGGGTCTGCAGGACAGTCGTGGCATGTGTTCCCTCACAAGGACACAGAGACAAACCAGAGACATCCCTGAGTGCACACTTGGCTCGGGGAATTGTCTAGGATCACACTCCAATCCTCAAATGAGGGCCTCCCACACTGGGGGATTAATTGGCAGGTAGGTTCTAGAAACTGATAGTGAGGTAATTACATGTAAAATTAGGTCTTTTCATTTGAATACCCGAATGGGAAGCCATAGCATTGTATTTCCCCAGCTGTTATACAGCACAATTTGATCCACCTGAATTTTGGTACATTTTAAAAAGCACCAAGGGTAACAGTTTGTTTTTCTGCATGACACCATATACAGAAGAGGACTATGTGAGTATTTAAGGAATTTCTCAATATGTCTTCTTCCAGCTTCACTGGAACTGGTGTTTGAAAAGAGAAGGATCTTGTCTCGATAGTTTGTTATCTACTCACATACATGTGATCTGGGTTGGGAAAACTCTGCATGCTTGTGACTTCCTGGATCAGCCCAGAAAATTGGAACAGAAAAAGAATTTAGAAACCCGAGTTTCATGCCCGCTTTCTGTTTGAAGTAGGCTGAACCCACATCTAATTCTCTCAGTGGACTGAACAGTGTACTTAAGTTTTTCTTTAGCTTGGCTAAATATTTTATTTTAAAAAATGGAATAGGACTAAACCTGAGCATCAAAAATATCCCTCTGTCCTCAAATATCCAGCAGCCTTGTGTCAGTGCTTTAAGGAAGATAGAAGATCCAGGGTTCAGTCAAGAGGCAAATGAGGGCTTTTAAGCCTGGTTATTAGATCCAAGGATGAAGACTTTGTCAAGCCCTCAACTTTGTTTTAACCCCTCCCTACAGCTGAAGTCTTCTGTCATCTCAACATTAATTTCTGTCAACATGTGGAGAATTTTGCTGAGAAATTTTCCTATCTTAACACACTACAGACGCATTTTTCTGCAGACATCTTGACTGCAGGGTGGCAGTTTCAAAGCAGAGACTAGGAGGTAGGAAAGGTGGGTCTCACTGCAGTGAAAGCCTGTTATGAGATCATTAGTCATCTAATCCCTAATTCCTGGGGGACTGGGTTGGTACAAGATCACTTTATACTTGCCTTGTTTCTTGCAAGCTTTCCACTTGTATCCACTAATGACCATTGTAACAGACAGGATACTGGGATAGATTTAGCTGTGATCTAATCCAATCTGACTTCTCTTGTGTGATTTGATAGTGGTTCCAAGACACTGTCTCCAGTGAGAAGATTTACAAGGTTTACCCAATTTGAGTAGTCCCGATCTGTGGAGTTAGGGAACTGTGGTGCCTCTAAGTGCTTGACAGGACAGTGACTTTGTTCATCTGAAGTGGGACTGAGAGGCCTCTCGAGGCAAGTGCCTCAGTGAAGAGCAAGTGCTATCATCGTTCCCTTCTTGCTCCCTAAATTTAAGACACTGAACTGTTAAGATCAGTTGCCTGAGGTCAGAATGTTTCTTGGTGCTACAACAGGATTCGCTTCTCCTGGGGAAAGTACCGTGTCAGACTAGTTAGTACCTCCTTGCTGCTGGCAATTTATTTCTAATGTCAGGAGTTGGAATTCCCCTTTTTCCAAAGGAGACAAGGAAAATAGGAGTCTCTGGGTGTTTATTGGGTTTTCTTGTCTTTTTAAAATATTGTTTAATACTTTCTAGATGTAGTTTCGCT